TTTAGCTTCTGATCATGCCTAAAATGCTGATTCCTGCTACTAATATAACTCACAGCATTAGTGAAACTTAAAGGCAGAGTGAATCATAACATTTTACCTTAAAATGCCACTGTCTGTTAGCGCTTAGCAATGCTAAAGCAGTCAAGTATCTTCTTTAATGATAGAGGTGTCATTTTTAGGGAAAGATGGTCTACAATGATGTTATATTTGTTTACAAGATTGTGAGCAAATTTTCAGAAAAAATAAATTTAACTTAATATGAAAAGATATTGGGAGCAATAGAAATAGTGTCTGTACATATACAAGGTCTGTCCAGAAGGTATCTAACCATGTAATATGAAAAAAGAGACATTTATTGAAGAAGATACAAGATACGAGAAATATTATACATAGGACAATGATACCTCAGTCCCGTTCAAAGTAGGCTCCTTAGGACCTCACACAGTTCTCCCAATCACCATCAGTTGCCCTATTGTATTTTCCTGAATCTCATCGATGGTCTGAAATCTCCTCCTTTTTTTAAAAAAAAAATCTTCCTTTTCAAAGGTGATTTTAGTTTTGGGAAAAGGCAGAAGTCACAGGGTGCCCACTGTGGACTGTCAGGAGACTGAGTTCCCTGGGTGATTTGCTGTTTTGCCCAAAAACTCTGCACAAGACGTGATGTATGGGTGGGCATGTTGTCATGATAAAGCTGCCAATCATCAGTTGCTCATGGCTGTGACCTGCATCATCTGAATAGTTTCCACAGAGGAATGTTCAAGTGCAAAATCTGATACAGATTTGTTGCTTTACTCACTCCATCATTTTGAATGTGATGGCCAAATACACATGCTCATTCAACAGCATCTACTGCCCCCACTGACTAGTACACTGAAGTTGTCATTGTTCACACAGGCACATTCCAGTCCACTGTCCTTGCCTGCCAGGTTACATTGATGTTGCATGAACCATTCTTATTATATTAACAATGGCTGGACTTTTTCCAGTCAGATCTTGTATATAAGTCTGAAAACAAGCATAACCATTTATCAACTACATATGAACTTACCAAAAGTTTTTGAGTTTCTAACTATGGCACATAGTTTTTTCCTAATTGAAAATAGATCACTGTCTATTCTCTTAAACATCAGTAGCTACCAATGGAGTTTGCTGGAGTTTGGACAGCTGAACTTCAGTCCTCTATCATCTGTCACAACTTCAGTAGCTCTGTGCAATAATACAGTTATAAAACACAACACATAACCATCCTATGAGCAGCAATATTAGAGGAACTTATACTGTAAAATTAGGAAATGATATGTGATAATGTCTCTATATCTAAAAATACAGTGCGCATTTTAGTGCATAGTGTAATTGTTGCTCTTCCTTTTAATACTTGTGGTTTCATACATTTGCTCTGGTGTGTCTGGGACCTTGCACAAAATTTTCCTTCTGTGTGATATGAGTCCTCCTTCTCTTCAGCTTCTTAGACTGACTGACTGTCTTGAGAACTAAGCTTAAAAAGTAATTTCCTCAACTTTTAAATCTGTCCACTTTGTCTTCTTCATTACATATATATCCAGTGGCTACAGCAGTACTTAGCACATGTGCGCTCTCAACACATGCTTGTTAAATAAGTAAAAAGCTAGGTACCTTTTCCTCCTATTTTTTCCCCATAGTACCTTGGGCTTACCTGTGCCAAGTAATTTTTACTCTATATTCTAATAACTTGTGTATTTCTTTTTTCAAGATGAACTTTTTAAGGGAAGGCTTAGTTCTTATTCACCAATTTGTGTCCATACTAGCACAGCATGGGGCACACCATGGGTGCCTAATAATTGTGGCGAAAGAAATAATGAGTGAAGTTTTATGTGTCCTTTGGATTCAGCAATGTCCTGGCCATTCATATTGAGCTCCCATTCTTTGGGGGGTTCTAAATACCTCAGGTGCTTCTTTAAAAGGTGCTCTGGGTATTATTGTTTAGTTTCATTTGAAAAAAGTGGGGAGAAAGATATTTCTGATAGAATTAAGAAACTCATGGAAATTTCTTTGAAGGAAATTAATACCAGAGAGCTTAGACATGAAATGTTTGTGAATAAATGTTCTCTCCATGCCAATGAGAGTCAATGCAGTTTTCTAAGGGTTAGTAAGAGATGAATAAAAAATACCTCTTACTGAAAGAGGAGAAGCATCGCATAGTGAAAAATGGCAAGAGGTTCAGGAGGGTGTGAGTCTAGTTCTACTTCTGTATCTAGTGTATCCCATCTCATTGTGAATGTGTCCTTAACTGCAAAATAACTAGGGGAGTGACAAGAGCCTTTGTCTCCAACAACCGAGATCCCCTGTTATATGCTAAGCAGTAATCCCATCACTTTCTTTTCCTTTCTCTGGGTTTGTAGTATATTTTGTAATTCACATTTAAAACATTTTAATCTCAACCATGGTTATATTTAGATTCACAATAAGTGAAACCACATTTCAGGAAATACCTTTTCTTCCCCTCCCCCCCGCCTTTTGAAGGCATAGTTTCCAAGTACGCTGCACTTTCCCTCCTTCACACGCCCCATCTGCCTCCCCTGCAGCCCCGTTCTTCCTTTTGTTTTTCAAGGGAAATTGCATTTGGATATTTTTGATTCATTTCCAGGTGATTACCAAAATATTATGTTGTTAGAATGACTTGTTATTTAAAATGTCAGTTCTTTAAAACTATGAAAAGGATGACTGAAGTTGATAGCTTTGTGTTTGGAAAGGGATTTTATTTCATTAGCACCCTCAGCCGGGGAAGGAAGAAAGGTCAGCATTTCTGCAGGCCTGCGCTGGGCACAGGGAACCTTAGGCAGGCATATTGAATCAAGCCTCTTGATTGGGGCCATCTCTTCTGACCCTAATACTTAGAGATCCTGATGCCTTGTTCTTGGCTTTGTCCCTTTGGCCCTGTGCCAACTTTGTAATTCTCTCTGCAAAGTGTTTGTTTCCTCTGTATTCTTCTCCTACAGTCTTTTACTCCATGCTCTTCATTCATCAGTGCTACCCCATGTCAGTGATTTATGAATGGCAGTTACCGCCAAACTTCAGTCTGTGTGGCCTTAAAAACAAATGATGTGTGAGTTGCTTCTTTTCTATGGGGTAGATTTGAAAAGGACCTGCCTGGCACTGTGGAAAGAGGAAAGCCTGAGAAGAAACCTTGCAGAACACAGAGTGCTTTAGTTATATTTGATCATCAAAAAAAAACCCCAGTCATCACCAGGCCTTACCATGAAACTGAAAGTGTCCAGAAAAAATGGGGAAAACCATTATGCTCCAGCTCTAAGGAAACAGATCACCCTCTTGGGGGAGCAGCCAGGGATGGCTCTGCTGCGTCTCACTGTTAGCCCTTGGGTGTTCGAAGGCCAGCCACCCAGGCTGCAGAAGCTGGTGCCTCTGGAAAGCAGATCTGTAACAACAAACAGTTTGTCACTTCGTCTTCTTAGATACCCAGGCAAAGGGGGAGGGATTGTTAAAACTCAAAAGATTAGTCTGTCACCTGGAAAGGCCGAATTGGAAGGACCTACGGCATTCCTTCTAGACTAGTTGTCCAAATGAGTGGAGGTAGTGTAGCAAATCCAGTCATGAAAACCAGTTTATCTGAAGTGCCCAGCTTTCCCTTAATGCTCTGACTCAAATTCCTCACAGTTATGGGAATTTTTATGGATTTGATTTTTCCTAGTAGTTTATCTTTTAGGTTAAATAAATGTAACTGTCTTACCTCTTTCATCATCTTATCCATTGACCATCCTCCAAGATTGGAGCTTGTGGAAACATCTACAATGCAGCATATTAATTTTTTTGCTATTGGAAACCATGATTTGGAAGAAAACATATTATCATATCTAAATTTTTAGGAATACCAGTACTGTATTCTTTGCTTAATTTTTGTTTTGAACTGAATATGCTCTTTCTTAACCCTTTCAAAGTGCTTTGTAGTATACATCACTTTTGTTAACTAAAGTGAATTTAGTTTTTTGTTTTAAAATTTTTATTTCCGCAAGGTAAATGAGAGTTAGAGTGAAATCAGTCTCAGATATACCCTGCTTAGCACCTTGACTTTAAATCCTTTACTCAGCATGTCTCAGCATTCTTCAATGTGCATATTAAATTAGCCCAAGGATGTCTTACCTCAAGTTGTAGTGAAAAACCAATCAAATGAGATAATATATGTAAAAGTTCTTGAAAAGTAAAAAAGGAGGGACCTTGAAGAGTTAGAAACAAATGTAAGCTTATTCACACTTATTTAATTCAACTAAACACATACGGTGTTTAAAATATAACTAGAATTTATCATTTCATGGTATCTCAGAATTTATTTCCAAATCTCTCTGGCATGTAGGATAAAAAGATAATTTATCCAAACTAACAAGTTGTTTGACAACTTTGACTACCAACATTTGGATGAATTTGTGATATATGTTTAATTTGTTTTAAATTTCAGTGATTTAAACCTCAGCGATGGCTAGCATTCAATGAAGTGCTAATAAAAGGCATGAATAATGGAAAACTAACTAATAACATACAAGTAAGGTGAGAAAGACTTTATAAAAACATGTGGAAAAGGCAGGTTAATGACCTATGCTCTTTCCCTTAAATATTCTTAAATCCATGTTTTAGATCCTCACACACAATTATTGAATACAGAATCAGTGACTTTTTTCACTTATTTTTATTGTAAGAACACCTTTACAAAATTAACAACAAAATTTTATACTGCTCATTTGGCATTCTGTCCTAAGATTTAGTTAGCTACTCAAGGTGGTTATGTGTTTCTGGCACCTAAAATTACTTGAAAGTTATACTGTTGTCTTGAAAAAATATTATCTTCTTCACAGTAAAAGTTGCCGATTTGATCATCTTTCAAGCATCACCTGAAATGCTGGGGGAGTAGTAAAGATTAGGTGTTGCTCCTGGTTTTTCTCCATGACTCTCTTCTTTGATTCTTTCTTCTCCTTCTCCTGATTTTGTCAACCTCTTTTCCTCCTTGCCTCTAGGGAGAAGCCCCCAGTGGAGGACAGTCACTGAAAAACTACATGGAAGAAGTGAGTTTTAAGGTGGCCTTGGCATATAGTCTGAAAAGAGTCTATCATATAGGATGAAACCCTCTCATGGGCTGCCTCCGTCTGCCTGTAGGGTTTACCGTCCATGCCCACTAAGTGGTCATGCCCACACAAACGAGACAACAAATAATGTTACCAAAATTACTTTTGTTCCTCATTGGTAGGGAGACAATGTACATCAATTTGTCCTGAAAATGAAGGTAGAACTGCATAAGCCTACTGCCATCACATATTTTCAGTTATAAGAATTTGCTGATATCCTAGTAAGTGGAAATGCATATTTTGTATTGACCATAGCATGCCAAATAAGACATGATCATTACAACAACAATCTATACAAAATAATCATTCATGTGACAAATGCTTATCGAGGATGTGATTTGTGCAATCTGTTAAGCGAAGTGCTATTTTAACAATTAAAATGTACAGGTAATTTTTGTTGAAAAATCTCTTAGACTTCTTGATTTATTTGGGCGATATCCAAGGGTGCTCTGTGTCACATGATTTGTCTTTGGGTTGGCTACAAATGGTATTTGGGAACTTTCAAGTAAATCAGTGCATAGAATCCATAAAACTTGATCTAATACTGATCCACAGTGGTCACTAATTTAACTACTTGAATCTGTTGTAGGTAAAGGGAACTGGGAGACAATATGGTGATGATGTCTTAGAACTACCAAATATTAGATTTGAATATTGCTTCTCAGCAAGACAGTCTGATTCTCTAAATATTCTATTCTCACATGCATGAATTCATTCAAAACAATTTTGAATGCCCTACTGAGTGTACTGTGAAGGGGAGCCCCCCCAAAAACAGAATTATCTTCTGGAGAGTATACTTACAGTACAGGGTTTCCCTGCTAGAGAATTGTCCTAGGAACTCATCTGTATCAGTGCACCAGCTGGAGTTCTTGTGAGAGGCTGCATTCAGTTTCAGTAAATTTTTTGGAAGACTCTTTCAACACGTTTGCCCATTTCATGATAGGGAATTTACAAGCCCACCTGCCCACACTGCACTGAGTGTTCAGCATTTTTTGACCAAAAACAGCATGACCCTTTGGCCCCACCCTCCCTGTTCACCTGATCTCACCCCAGGCAACTTTTTGTTTTTTGTTTCCCTGATGAAAAAGTCCTCAAAGGGAAACATTTTGCAGATGTGGAAGTGGTGAAACAAAAAAACAGCAGAAGCCCTAAAAGACATAAAAATCAATGAGTTCAAAAACTGTTTTGAGCAGTGGAAAAAACATCTTGATAGGTCTATTAAATCAAATGGATAGTACTTTGAAAGTGACTGAAGTTTAAACATGTAAAAATAAATACACAATTTTTTATAAGTAAATTCCAGTTTTTTGTGGTCCCCCCTTGTATGTAGTTCATTCATTTATTTAGAACGCCGAACCCATATTTAGACTCATTTTTACTACCAGCTATCACTCGGACAGGAAAACCAGAGTACATAGCACCCCTTTAAGCCTCTAAAATTCTGCTTCCCATGCTTGTTTGGATGTGGCTGAAGTTTTTTGAAAGGTACATGGAGAAGGGGTAACAAAGAAAAGAAAGGAAATAACCAGCTAGATGTTCTGAGCTCAGGTTAGAAAAATCAAAATATATTGGGCACAGAACTGAAGAGTTGGAGCACCAGGTTTAGATTTCAACTCAATGAATTGGATACAGAAATTGAGTAGACTGCATTGTGCAGTTAATGTTGCCAGGGAGAGGCAGACACTATTTTCAACGTGTACACTAATAGCATCTCCCTTTAGGATTCTGTGGTTGCTCCAGCTCTTGGCTCGGCGTTCCCCACTTGCTGGTTGGGTCTGGGGGTGGAGCCACCTCCATAAGAGCGCCGGATGCCCCTTGTCACGTGTCCGATAGAGGCCTAGCGCTGCGGAGGGCGGGGAGCATTGCGGTGCTGATACAGGAAATGGGCTGCTTACGCGTGAGAGAACTTTCAGAGTGTCTTATTCTAATTTTGTCATTCTCATCCCCGCCAAATCCTCATTTTCTCCATCATTATGAATGTACAATCTAAATATACACATGGTATGTAATTGTAAGTGCTTCATGTGACAAAAAGGCTGAGAATGTGTACCTTCTCAGTGTGGTCCTCTGATTAGTAACATCATCATCACCTGGGGCCTTGTAAAAAAATGCAAAATCTGCATTCTAATAAGGTCCCCATGTGATTCATAAACACTCTAGAGTTTGTGGGCACAGCCTTAAAGTGTTTTTTCCAATGTTATTTCTAGAAAGTAACTTCATATATCACGGAAAATCACCAATTTTGTATAATATAGGTAGAGGAAAACTTTATTAATAAATTTAAGAGTTTTGTTTATTCATCCACTCTGAGGAATAATAATTTTGGTTGATTGGAGGTATAAAATCTCTAGCTTATGAGATTCATTACTAGCTTTCAGTTTGAATTTACGAGTACGTGCAAGCTGCCCAAGGTAAGGGTTCAGTTTCACATAGTATTTTTATCTGATATAGGTTGATATTTAGCTTTTAGTTCTTTATAAAATCAATGTGATCATCCTTTACAGTAAAACTGTAAGTTTGATCTTAATTAGAGAATTATTGACTTATTAATAGTTTTGGGTTTTTTTTTTTCTTCAGACAATCATTGGGTCTTTGGGAAGTATATTCAAACTCTTCTTTATTGTGAACAAGTTAAAAATGTGAGCCAAAAGTGGATAGTTTTTGTTTTTTTCTCATTTATGCTTTTATTTCACTTTTGCCCTCTTTCTCCATATTCCTACAATCAGCAAACAATAAAGAACAGTATTTATATATGTTAGAAACACTGAAGTTAAAACTGAGCTAGCAACCATTTGCTTTTATTTAGTATACACTAAAACTCAAATAAACCATAGTGTTTACATTTTTAATATATTTAACATTTGTTGCTAAAGTTTGAATCATTCTTTGCAAATCAAAGTCTTTCTTTTTTTTTATTTATTTACTCATAATTAGACAGAATCATAACCACGTGAAGTCAGACAATTCTGTTTAGACCTAACTCAGAACTAAAGATACAATATGGTCTCAAAAAGTAAAGCTAAAATGGAATTTCTAGTCCATATTTTCTATCATTTAATGTATTATTTTTCCAGAATAGAGTTTGTATTTTTGACCAAATTTTTTAAAACAGATATTTTATAATAATCTACTTTTCCTAACCTTCAAAATGGTTCTGACAGTTAAAAAAAAATTACGTATTTACTTGTAAGGCACTTAATACCTCAAGGGAGAAATAATAATCTCATACTACAAAAATTTTAGTTTTGGGAATCATAATGTCAACATTCATTTTATTTATATATGTGTGTATATATATGTATATATATATATAGTAGTTAAATTATGTATGTATATATAATTTGAAATATATCATCATAATCAACTAGTTCCAAAGCTAGCTAGGCCTTTTGTAGAGAAGCCAGTCTATTTAAAATACCATATTTCTTAGGTTAATAAAAGGGAAGCAGCATAGTATACTAGTTAAAAATCCCCTAATTATTGGAGAAATATGTTAATTTAAATATTTATAAATCAGATAAGTATTGTGAAATGAAATGTTTGAGAAGCTATGAAGAACAAAAGACTGAAGTTTATGATTTTTAAAACTTTTTAAAGAACAACTTAGAGCAGTTCTTCACAAACTCAGGAAGTTTTTTGGTGGAGGCAACACACCGAGGAGCAAGCGTGAACTAGCTCAAGGTGTCAAGTGACAGCTTCACAACCTCTAAGGGTGTCAGACAGGAAAAGAAGCCTGTTAAATGGCAGACCTTTCTCAAATTTGTTGAGGTTGGTTTTGCCAGCTGTACCATCTGAACTGGAAAGGGGATCAATTCTATGCAACAACATATATTAGAATCACTTATCCTGCCACCTTTGTCTTTTTTTTCCTATGTTGTATTTTGTGATTGTTAATGCGATGAAGTTCCAACTATACTTCTGAAGGAGTGTGCATGACATTATTCTCCTATAATAAATAAGAGATAATTTACTTTTCATCAAGCATGGGGATTTACTTTTTAAAAATTGAAATAACTATTATTCAGTATCATAGTTTTATTCCACTTAGGAAACTGGGAAATAAGGATTTTTTTAAAAAGTAACTCTAATTTGTCACTGATATCATTATGAATTGATACATGTTAAAGGGTAACAATTTTTTAAAAATTTATAATCATGTCTCTCATACAGATATGGAATAAACACATGTCAAAGATTTATTCAACTCATTAATTAATGAGGAAACCAGTAAGTTACAACCAGTTCAAAGAAGATTTCAAACCTTCACAAATATAGTTAAATAAGAAATGTTTAAATAAAGTTATAAATAAATGCAAAAACTGGCAAAACTGATTGATATCAATAGGATAAAAATTGCACTTAAATAGACATAATTGCATTTATGGAGACAAGAATTATTTGTATTACCACAAATTTTTATAAAGTACATAGCTGTAAAATAGCTCAAAGTCAATGAATGACTCAGAACCTCCATCAAATCAGATAAATGAAAGGGCATGCTAGAAAAATTGTTACTGATCCCAACTCCATGTGTCTGATGCTCTGAAAGGCCCAAACTGAAAACAGAGGCTGGAGGAAGGAAAGGTTTATTGACTGGGAAGTTGCCAATGGAGAAGATGAGAGTGCTACCAGTTTCTGAAATTCATCTTAAGGAATTTCAGAGTTCTGGTTTCTTTTGTGCCAAAGAAGGGAAAATGGGAGGGGTTGTCTTCATAAAAGACTAAAGCCCCAAAGAGAATTTCTCTAATGATTAGCATGTCTAAAGCTGGAGCTATTGGAACAATGTAGGCCCAAACAAGATGGAGTCAGAGATATTGAGCATTTCAGTTTTGCAAAATGACTTAGTTATTTCATTGACTACATCCAGTAGTATTTCATTCTTTTCAAAGCCTTTTACAACTTTATCCCTCAATATCCTGGGTGAGAAAAATCCACCAAAT